ACACTCACACACATACACCCTCACAGACACACACTCATATACTCAGTATGGCAATAAACCATATGCGAAATGTACACGCGATCATATGCATATACATACCAACCAGATGCAGCTGATGCCAACTTCGTGCTCGCGCAATGTGCTCGTCGTTTCGCCGCGGCATGTGGTCTCAAGAATTTGTTTGCACTCTTGTAAATATATCTTCCTATATCGCCGGGCGACGCTATCCTAATAATACTGTTGATGGAGGAAATCTTGCACCACCTAGGGGCCTTACAGCACTGTAATTCCTAGGACTTGAGGGACTTAAGGTGGTGCAAGATTTTTAATCCATCTTCAGTATCTCCTTCTAGGGTCAACTACACATGTGGGGTTCTTCGGTCCTTTAATTCTTTCTTCCGTGCTTATCGATGGCGCAATGCCTCTACTTCCATGCCCTGATGTGCATCACTGAAACTGCAACCATGAGCCCTCCAAAGCCATTTCGCCGGAGCTCTTTTCACGCTGTCTGCGGGTCATAGTCAGCTTTCTTAGTTTGAATGCTGGCCGAATGACTTGAAATGCCTGGCACGAAATGCCACGCAGCTGTGGCAAAACTTTTCACTCTCTGGCTGCATCTTAACCAGCAGCCAGCAGAGCAGAAGATAGCAGTCATGATGACCATGAGCTTTACAGCCAATCACCTCACAGCCTTGTCTGGAAGGCTTTCACTGAAACTGTCACTCCTCAAGGCACTCTTGCTCTCGGCTCACTGGTAGAGAGCGTGCCTCATTCGATAAGTGCTGGCATGGAGGTGGACCCAAAATTGACCAAAAGACATCCCAAACATCCGCCAACCAACATCCTCCTAAGAAACTTTGACATCCTTCTCTAGAGGGAGAGAGCGTTTAAGCACCCGGCATGATTCCTGAGTCATGCTACGAACCACGTGCGAGGGTCCAATCTTACCGGGCCCCCGAAGTCATCTTTGCATGGAAGGCCTGGTCTCATAACGAAGCTCACTCATTTCTTTCTGTTTTGAACATCCTGCAGGGGGCCGAACAACCGAGAGGATCTTTGGCTACACTTCATGACATCGTTGCAAGCCTTTCGCCAAAGTTGGGACGTATAAGAGTTTATGTATTCTCTAGCGGAAAATTTGCACGGGAATCTGCACCTAAATACTTTTGTGGACAGGGTGCCAGTATAGAGTCAATAGACCCAAGGCTGGCACTGCTACACAAAATTGAGAAGGGCCTGCAGGGGACGTGGGCTGAGCCCTCTCTAACAAGAAGACGGAGCACAATCACACATCAAAACTGAAGCAACAATTGAAAACTGCCATCCACTCAACGCACCCTGAAACACCTCAGAGCCGCAGTTGCAACACAGAAGCCCTGTCAATCCCCAAGCCTCCTCACCAAATGCAGAGCTGTTCACTACTTTGCTCGGCAAACCTGGGTTGGACCGCAAAGCCTCATGGAGCTGAAGAATCTCCTCCACAGTCGTCGCCAAAACCAGATTTTGGGGAAGACTTTATGTTCAAATGATTCTTGGCCCAAATTTAACAAACAAGCACTGTGTGGCATTCTACCAGCGAGGGCGTACTTGCCAACTCACGCATACCGGTGCGCACTCATCTCCCCCCCATCCATGCTGGGGGCCTTAATACGACCAAGAAGGCCCAAGCAAAGCGTGGGGTTTGGAATTCAGCGGTCGTGCTCTCGGATACAATTCTCCTGCCCTTGCTCGACCGTCACGCGTAGAGATCCCATGATGTGTCAAACTTCCACGTCGCTTTACTTGAGTCATGCAAAAGGGGCCATGAGGAGCCCATGAGCTGAATGGCTGTGCTGTCCTCTAGTTCTGTTGGCGCCTGGAAATGTGTAGCAAGCTGGCGGTTGGATTGACTCTTTGCCTGAAGTTTGCGTATGTGTATTGGAGTATCGCAGATTGCTGGAAATCTCAGGTAAGGCCATGCAGTAAGTCGAACTCTGAACCGCGAGCACCAACTGATCCGTTACCGGATGGATCTTAAACCCAGCAAAAACTACAGGATCCCTATGCCGTCCTCAGCATCACGCATGGCCATTTCGGGGTCTGCTGGAGGCATTCTCCTACCACTAGAAAGCAAAGGCGCGCGTCCAAGCTAGGGCCTAGTGGGGTGCGTGGAAATCTAGGCAGGCACTGAGCATGAACAGCACTACTGGATCACGTGTACACAGGAGCTTACGTAGCAGTTTTCTCTGCTTCGGGGCTCGAAAGCGACTTCAAGAAATGAAGCTATAGCAATGGCTGCATAAATCACCAGATGCTAATGCAGGAGCGTAGATTTCTTGGCTGACTTAGCTGCGAAGCTGTAAGTAAGACGCTGGTTTGTGCGATAAGGATCTCGTGCGGCACACGTCTCCATCAACAAACTGAACCAGCTTCCCCGCGCCCCCCAAGCCCGTCGTGTAGAAGTTGTCAGCATCCACGAACGGGCCCACGACCCGTGTGCTGACTGCCTTTCAGGATCTAGTGGCGGCTTGAGGGGGGGAGGCTGGGATTCGGGATTCCGTTTCTGGACGCTGCCTGCAAGATTTGTCACCTAATTGAAGAGGCTTGCCACACGTTTTGCACAAGCTGCCTGGTCAGAGCTGGCTGCAGACTTTGGCAATGTCTTCTCTAGCTTGTAGCAGACGTATAGGATGCGGACGGGCCCTTTGCTCCAAACAGTCAGTACAGACAGAAATTCGGATGAAAGTGATGAACCACACAACATTAGGTCATTAGGTCTGCTGGAAACGGGCCACTCTACAGAGGAGGACTGGGTAGGGCTGCAGTTACGGGCATGTAGTAGAGCTGGCAGGGAGGCATGCCGACCAACCAGCCCCAGCTTGTTCTGACTGAACTTGGGATTAGCAAGCATCCACCTGCTTCGTCGTTGCTCTTAGTTAACCTAAACTGCAAATGGCGAACCCCCGTATTCAAAAGATCCCAGCTCCGGAACGTAATTGGAAGCCCCTCTCTCAATCGAGAAATCTCTGTTGGCCCCTTTTTATCAGAGAGAGGTCGGCCTGCAGGGGCTTGAAAGGTCTTTAGACTGCAAGAGCCTCAGGGCGTGGCTCTGTAATTGTATAGTCTGCAGGGGCTTGCGGCTTGGGGCTCTACAGAAACTGGATGATGGCCTTTCGGGTTTCAGCCAGACCTCTCCGTGATTAAAATCCCGAGGAAGGGATTCGATCAACTGCCTGGGAGAATTTTTCGGGTCGACACTCCTGCACAGCATGCCTGGGTCCAACACGCTGAGGATGTATCAGCAAATCTGTTCCACTCACGCTGTTTCTGGGCGCGCAATCACCAAGAACTGACCAAGAAGTTGTTGTTGCTACCTGTTCACTGGCCAAGCACACCTTGGAGCAAATGCACATGTTGCTGGATGTGTGCTCTCAACAATGCCTGCCCAGCCCCGGCTGTGTCCGTCAACCAGCAGATACATTAACAGCATGTGACCCCTGTGCGCAGTTTACCCCGCTTTCTCATCAAAAATGCATTGCAGGGCACTTCGAGCCTTCATGCAGGCGTCAAGAGTTGGATGACCCAAAAGAGCCGTGGTGCTCCTAACGAAGCAGAAGGAAGAGTGATAACTGTCTGTCGTGCCTGGGGATTGGAGCTTGAACAGGAACGTGCGGTTACAGGTTCAGCGCTTTGCAGCTTCATGCTGCTTATTGGGCTAGTCGAAAGACAGTTGAGGGCCCCCTACCACTGGTGAAGATCTGCTGAGTCTTCAGCCTCAATTTTTGAA